TTTTTATTTTTTATAATTTTTTGTATTTCACATGGCACGCTTTGATTTAGAAGAAAAAATTCAGAACAGTTTTTGACACTTTCGATACCAGAAGCAACAACAAAATACACGCAAATGTTGTTTTTGCTCTACTGATACTACCTGTTTAATGTGCCTTGCCTACTACATATGAAGTGTACACATAAGTACTAATTGCACATAAAATTTCAAATCAGTATATGGTGTGCTTCACAAGTTATGACATAATTAATTTTTCACCTCTTAAAAATTACATAAAAAATTCACTTGTTTTCATTATTATTTTTTATTTAAACACCTATAATTCAAAAGTTATGCAGCAAATTGATCCAAATTTTTTTTGAGGCTTCAAGTATACGCCAATGAATTATATCCAAAAGCAACCAGCTTGATATAGTTTCCAACAGTGAAAATAAAGCTAAACAACACCAAGGTTACCTGTTTTTTAGATTTGCCCATATAATTTACTAGTCCAGTGGGCCGAGGATGGCTCCGTTTGCAGAAGTAATTGCAAGTAGGATCAGTTCTTGACTATGGTGCCGTCACTCAGGTAAATACTTTAAGTTTACATAGAAGGTAATTAGGGTTTGTGTCACCCGTTATGGGTAGGCCTTGATAAAAGATCATTGTCTTAAAGATCGCAGAATCGAAGGCGATGACTGATGCAGCATGAATATAGAATTTCCGATTCTCTGGACGATAGCCAACATAAGGATATCGACATTTTAAACCTCGTTTTTGTATAGTAGTTGGACAATCTGAAAAATATTTTGCTTTAGTAAATAATATGCAATATGTTTGATCAAATATTGCAATACGTACCGAAAGACGTAGTATGTATTTAAATTCGTGCCGTCTGTTAATTTGTATAGAAATAAATTCCTTTAAGATTTATTTTATACTATTTTGTTTGTTTTTATTTGATAAATTATTCAAAACCACAAAACTTTCTTAACATTGAAGTGTATATTGCTCCCATATAAAGTAAAGATAATACTCCTGGATGTATCACTTTAGGACACATCGCGTTTTGCTCCCAAAAGAGTTATAATGGAATAAAAAAGCGAAAGATCTCTCTTATTGCTTCGAGAAAATGTCAAAAGGAGTAGTCTTTTGTTAGTAACTTAGAAAGATCTCTTTGATTCCTCCGAACTGGAGTACAGAACCGAAAAATCTCATTTATTATTTCAAATCATGTCTCATGGAGCATTATTTTTTTGCTAGCTTTGGGAGACATCGTTCTTTGCTCCTAAGCGAACAATAATTGACACCAAAATGGATAAATCTCATCGATCATGCGATCATGGCAAAGGGAGTACTTTTTTATGCCTCAATTTGGGAGTTCTCCCTTCAGGATCTAGTGGGCTCCCAGTAGAACATGGGATCATCGTTCGATTGCTTGATGAGAACTCCCATTGCGAGTTTACGATTACTTCCCATTGCTCCCTATATTTCTGTGTATAAGCGTGTTATTCTGTATGCTCCCTTTAACACGGGATGCCCTAGGAGGGCGAGTAATCCCTTTGACCTGGTAAACGAGCCATCAGGAAGTACATACAAAAATATAATTTTGAAACCTTCTTAACGAAGAATATAAGAGTACCCTAACAAACATCCCAAAGGAGCAACAAAAGAGGACTCACAGACAATATCCCAAATTCCTCCCTAACGAGCATTAACGGAATACTCCTGTTAAAGTCATTCCAGAAACCTCCTAAAAGAATAATGAAAAAGTGCTCTTATTCTTCAAAATAGCTCCTCATGGAGTAATAACACTACACTGATATTAAAAGTGCAATTTTGGTTACTTCATTTATATAATTTTACGTTCGTCAATCATATACAATAATACATATATTCACATTTTAATACAACATCTCAAAGATAAGAATTTACAAAAGGGCGAAACACTTACATATCTACAAATATATTTATAATTTACCAGTTTAATATGGGTAGTCATCTAAACGCGTAAATTCCTCGTGACACCGTAAACCTCGTAAATAAACCGTTTTCCATACAAATTTACGAGGTTTATGTGGTTTATAGGCATTTATGCGTTAAGATAATTGGCCTAATGTGTTGAGCTTGGTTCCATGTGCATAAGTACATGCAAATACGATCGGTTCTGGACACTCAGGCACTTTCAGTTTAGAGGCTTATTAGGGTTTTTACTGTCAGTCTACCGGTACGCGTTGACCTCCTTAAAATCATGAACTTCCGATGCTCTTGACGATAGCCAACATAAGGGTGTCGATGCTTTAGATGCCGTTTTGACATACATACATAGAATATGGTTAATCTAAGAAATATTTTGGATTAATTAATAATATGCAATAAATGTGAACAAATATTGCAATACATACCGATAGACAGAGTTTTAAATAATGAATAAAAACTCATTTTTAACACATTGAGCCACCTTTTACTTTTACTTCTATTATCAAGGATTGTGAGTTAGCTGAATTCTGTTTACTATTTTATCAAGAATACTAGCCCATTCCCTTTGGTTTCGCGGCACCTGATAAGATTTTTCGCGTTGGCCAATGCAAGAATAGCGTTGAAAACCAAATATGGGTAAGGTAAAAATTCTTAATTTAGGTTGAACAACTAAAGAGCAGAGCCCTTCTCACACATATTTCTGCCAAAAAAATAGTGCTCTGATGCTATATGCAAGAAAAAATTCCTTTCAATGTCGTGAGCTTTACCGATGGTCGTATTTCCACTTGTGAGATCTTTTCTAAGCGTGCGTAATCTTATTCTATGATCTTGCAAATACGACATTAGTCCGATGCGTCAACCACTAGTCTTATGTCATGTAGGCCAACAAAACTCCATATAAGGAAGCTGAAGAGCACAGATGTGCGTTTTATATTATAGGAGAGCCAAACATCCTCGATGTAAAATTTGGCCATTGATATACCAACAGTGGTCTTTCTTGGAAGGATGTGGTCGAAACTTTCCTTGCTGATTCGCCACTTTTAAAATATCCAAGAGCTGGTTTACTTGAGTCTTACTGCTGCAGCAATGACCGCCCGAGCAATTTCATCAAGCGAAGGTAGATGCAAGGTCGCATTTAGGGTGTATGACGACATGAGACATCGTAAATTCGTATAATATAAACATAAAAAACAAAGTAGTCCAGACATATGGGGTTTCTAATGATTTCGACTGCAGCACCATTATGAATTGCAACCTGATTGTACAATAAATAGGGATTTTCTAAATAACTCAACTGCAGCGCCACCCAGCGGGTCCATTTTTCGCATAAGTATTGTTCATCATGCAGGTAGAACACATTTTGAATTTGAACGAAATCAGTTTATAAATACGGCTTTTATAAATAACTCGGCTCCATCGCCACCAAGGAGTTTTCTAGTAGCCTTTAAT